AAGAATACATATTGAAACTGTCACACACACACACACACACACACACACACACACACACACACACACATACAAAGAGTACATAAGAAGTACTGCAAACATTCTGTCTCCAACCCATGTCTTCAGAGTATGTTTCTGCAACCTCAAGAGACTACTGTGCTCTGGAAAGTTTTGAGTAGATACTGATAGAAAATCATGACATTGTCAAGGTGATCTGGTTCATGCCTGTTATCCCAAGACTCCATAAAAGCAGCAGGAAAATTGTCATGAGTTACAAGTCAGCCTGGTCTACATTAAGAGTGCAGACCCAGCCAGAACTACTTAATGAGACCCATTAATACCAAAAATTAAAAAAACAGCAACTAAAATAATAATATTTAAATTTTGATTTATCTACTTATCTAATTTTATATCACAACAAACTTTTTGTGATATGTAAGTTTTTTTCTTTTTATAACTGAATCATAAAAATACTCAATTTCTAAAAATGGCATGATGAAAGATGATGTTCTAAAATAATCTACACAAGTAGGTATTTCTATAAACGTTAGAATCGTTTTCAAGAGTACTTCTATCTTCATTTCAAAGTAAAATCATGGAGTATGAGTTTACCCTAAAAGACATCAAGATCACACTGATAATATAGTAATAAGCATAGATCTACACAAACATTCAGAGATGATGATTTTCAATCTGCTTCATTATATAGATATTTAATACTATGAAAAAGTCATTAAGTAAAAATGAGTACATTAAAGAATGTATACAGGATAATATCTATGTTCAAACTTCTGCTTTTCCTTGTTTTTAATTTTCTATCAATATTCTTATAGGTATATACACACACATAGAGAGAGAAAGACTCATATTTGATTCATATATACATCTCATTACACATGCATATATATATTTCACATATGTGTACATATGAGAGTCTGGAAAAATCTGTATTAAATATTATTTCTGGCATGATATGCATTGGAAGATCAACCACAAACCAGGTATTTTCTGTGCAAGTATGTAGAAGACTGGCACAACTAAGTGGTGAGTGACTGAACATCAGTGTTCACAATGATGCCTAAGCATTTGACATTTGCTGTTTCACAATTAGCCATGTGAAATAGACACTGTTTTTGTCTTCAGTTTATAGGTAAGGATCTCAATGCTCAGTAAGGTTAGATCACCTAAAAATGAGCGAGCCATGTGTCCAAACAAGTCCTTGCCAACTTCAGATTTCAGACTCTCAAGCATTCCCTCTACACTTCCTCCCTGCACTCCATCACCGGTGCTGACATTCTCAGAAAACCTGTCTTGCTAAGGTTTCAAATCATGTCAACTATGTTCCTTTCTCTGACTTCATTTATTTAGTTGACTATCGCTGTTTCAAAAGACGTGAGGTGCCCAGAATGCATTAGTTAGTAGCAGCATAAACAAAGGAAATCCTTCACCTACCTATCCTCTCATTGTTATTCTCTTTTGCTTCAAATTTAATATGATTTGTTAGTCATTGGAAGAAATATTATTATATATGCAAATGTAAGTGACAAGTGTGATTGCCTTCTCTTATCAAAACGGTACAACCCCAATTAAAAGGACAGGGAAGAACCCGAGAGAGGACGATGAGTATCACAAAGTGGCAGCTCTGAAAGAGGCAATGCAGATTAGCAATGACTCGCAGTACCTTCCTGTCGCTCAGCTGAATGCCTTAAACTGTTATGAGGTGCTTTTGGAATCTGAATAAATAACTTTCCAGGTGAGAATGTCGGTGCTCCTCACCTGTAAATTTTGGTACACCACAGAATTCTGAAGCATCACCTGTAACGATGCTTAACTCTTTTTCTGGAAGTCAATGTAACACCATGAGTTCTATTTGACAGTAGTTTGCCAATACAGCCCTATGAGTTCTATTTGATAGTCCCTTGAGTCTTTCCCTTGTTCCTGATTACTCATAGCCCTGGTTTCGTTGGTTAGACATGACTATTTCTGAACTTTCAAGACCACATGACAGATTTCATGGGAAATCTTGAGAAAGTCAAGGTTTCTAGAGAAGACAGTAATGAAAAATAGGACGTTACTTTAATATAATTTGTCACTGTTTGCCTCAAATTCTCCCTAATGGAGTCCCATGAAGCTGTCTTGTTACACTTACACAGGTTTTGTTTAATCTCCTCACCTAACCTTTGAAGAACCTAATTAAGTACTTCTAAAAATACTAGCATATACTTCATAGAAATTGAATTTTCCATTAAAACTTACCAGAACAATGGATAATAGCTTGCATAGTTGTAAAGACAAAGGGAAGACATCAGGTCAAGAGACATAAAAGTTGGAAAGAAAATTACTGTGTCATGAAAAAGATAATAAAGTTTAAAAGAAATTAAAAAGATAAGACATGTAGGATATATAAAACAGCTTGAGATCCAATGACAAAGATAAAAACTTTGATGAAGGGAATGCCACTAATTGGATATTGTTTGAAGCTGAAAGCGACATTTTATCTTTGCCTTTATAGTCAGACAAAAATCAGAAGCATCTTACACCAGCAATATCTGTCTTCCCCCACCACAGATCAAGGTACAAATTGTATGACATTATCTCTACGGGGCGCAACCTAACAATGTGACACCGACACCATGAAGTAATATTGAAAATATATTTTTGGAAAGTACTTCGAACTTTGGTGCTCTGTGCAGAAGTAAACAAATGCAACTGTGAGTTACTGGAAAGGATGCAGCTGCATGGATGTTACTAGTGTCCTATAAAATCATCCAGAAAGCAGTCAAATAATTATATCACTGTCAAGGTGGTCTAAGATTAGTCTCAGTAACAGTGGTAAAAATATAAGTTGTCACAGATATACTGACTTATGATTTCAGAATATTGTCAAATATATGCAGTGACCACTAGCATTGTAACAGTATCTTACAGCTTGAGAAGGTTGAAATTATTTACAGTATCAATTGTAGAGAATGGTGTGAAGAATCAGGTATATGAAGGCATAGTTGGCATTAACCAAAATATTAAGAGCTGTAAGTATTACTTGGACAGAAAATTCTGTGCCTAGGAGTTTAAGAAGGAGAGGGTTGCAATAAGATATATTTGAAGCAGCAATTAATGCATTTATTGCTTTTTGTTGCTGTGGCCAAATATCTGACAAAAGGCAACTTAGAGAAGGAAGGAAGCATCACAAAACGGCACACAGAAACACCCTCATTTCAAACAGGAAGAAGAAGATGCGAGCAGGAAAAGCCTGAACCTAAATCATACCGAACACCCGTAGGACAAATACAGAATTACCTCATAGTTTTGAGGTATGTTTCATCATGGTGCGAAAGGCATAAAATTAGGAACTTGAAGCAGCTGGTGATACCTCATCTGTAGTCAGCAAGCAGAGAGGCATTAATACTAATGCTCAGATCACATTTGCTTTGATTTTGTCTGTTTGTTTGGTTGGTTGGTTGGGTGGGTGGGTGGGTGAGTGGGTGGATGAGTTTTTATGTTTGTTTTGGGTTTTTGTTGTTGTTGTTGTTCTGTTTTGTTTTATATTCAGTGTGAGAATCCATGAGATAGTGTCACTCACATCCACATTCAAGGTGAGTCACTCACCATTCGTTAAACTTCTCTGGAAAAGCCCTCACAGACATATGAAAAAGGTGTAGCTTCTAGGTGATTTTAAATTCAGCCATGTTGACAATGAAGACTTGCTGCAGCAAGTCTAGCTTTTACCAACTTGACACCCTAATATATCACTTTTAAATCACAATATCTCACCTTAGTTCTTCAAAGATTCATGGACATTTCACAATGAAAACTTCACTTGGTTCATCATTAAGAATCCACCAAATCTTAATTCTAACATTGTTCAAAAGCTCAAATTTTAAGGTATTTTCTATGATTCAAGACAATCTCTTACCATAAGCCCTTGCAAAATCATTAATTTATATACTTTCAATATACAAGAGCATACAGCAAACATTCTTGTTTCAAATGGGAGAAATGAGGTTATAGTAAGGAAAGAGCGGATCTAATTCATAGCAAAGCCAGGAGGACAAACAGCAAAGGCTGCAGTTCCATGTTTAGCATCTGCAGTCTGTAAAGGATTCATCTGAGTCTCAGTAGATGTGTTTTGCTGGCTTTCCGGTTCTGCCACCTGCAGCATACATAGCCTCTCTCTTAGACCAACTCGGCTCCACACATGCAGCTATCCTTGGCCGACATCCCATCATCGAAGCATTGCCAGTATCCTGGAGTTTCCACTGCAATTTCACCATCAAAATTAGACACAATGTCAGGGCCTCCTTTTAGGGACTCTGACTCTGACACACATTTCCTCACCTCAGTGACTTTCTGGAACTTCCATGTAAGCAGGCTTTCATGACCCCATAATCCTTGCATTTTTCTGCCTAAAAAAACCAGTGTCATGTGTATGATACTGCCAAGTTCTACCAGCTTGCTTTAAAATAGTCTACTCCCCTTCTACCCCAATAATTACAGTCTCCATGACCCTTAATGATTGAACCTGGGAAAGCAGTTACATATTTGTTTTCAAACAGCATTCTCAATCCAGGCTTTCTTCCTTCAAAATTAGTTAATATTTTCACAGTTCAGAGCTTTCCATGGTACAATCTTACCTTTGAAGGACCTTTCTTATTGCCCTAACTAAAAGCATGTGAGGCATCTCTTTGATTACGCTAATCTCTTTAATAAGTATCTCTTGCCTGCATCCTGAAACTTGCTGGGGCTCCTTTCTTGATAAATTTCACATTCTGTTCATATCTTTCTTCTCTCTCTCTCTCTCTCTCTCTCTCTCTCTCTCTCTCTCTCTCTCTCTCTCTCTCTCCTCTCTCTGTCTCTCCTTTCCTCTATTTCTTTTTTGCTGACTAAGAACATAAATAGCCACTACGCTACAGCCTGGATATTATTTTGTCTTCAAACTTCCTTTACAAAACAACTTAGCCTATTTCATTTAGGAGAATGCAAGCAGATGATTTAGCAAATCTTACCATAAGTGGCTTGTAGTCCAGTTTCCAAGGGTTCTTCATTCTGCTTTGAACATCATGAGAACAATCTATTGTCCTTATTTCTCTTAGTATTCTGATCTTCCATGTTCGTTCCAGAACAATTTTTAAGCTCTCCTTGCAGCATTTTAGGGCTTATCTAGCCTCGTGGCATCTTCCATATTCTATCTCCACCAGTTTCAAAGTCCTACATAGGTTTATTTCAGAACAATAACCTCATCCCTGATTCCAGTTTTCAGTATTTGATCCTTTTCTTATTGGTATAACCATATATCTGGAAAGAATCAAGAGGAAGATTTTATTTTGATTCAAAGGTGGAGAGTTTTTTTTTTTTTCCATAGGAGGAAAAATTCAGCAGCAGGAGGGAGAAGCAGCTGACCTCATGGTATGTCCAATTGGGAAATAAATAAGATGAATGCTGGGTTTAGCTTGTGTTCCCCTTTTTCATTTCTTTATTCAGTCTGGGATCCCAGTCCACTGGATGATGCTGCCCATATTCTGGGTGATTCCTGTAAGGTATCTAGAAAGGGTCTCACAACCATGCCCCAAAGTATGCCCATCCTCTAGATAATTCCCACTCTAGTAAAGTTGACAATGATATAGTATCACAGTTTTGCATGTGTAGAAGATGAAATTGATTTTTTATCATTCATTTCACTTATGAATTTTCTAAGCTGAGAATATGTTTAGATTCTTGTCTTTCTCAAGAGCTTTCATATCCAGTACACCAAATTAAGGAAGGAGATGAGGTGGCCCATAAGTCCCATGTGAGTAAACAACAGAACTAATATGAAGCTAATACTAACACTTAAGTCACCATGCTGCCACAGTCAGTATCTAAGGAAAACTAGGATTGGGTTATCCGTCTCCATTTATATACACTATGTGCAGATTACACTGAACTGTCACACTCTTATATTTAAAACACAGCTATGAAAAGGGTAGTAAAGAATCATAACATAAATCTTGAAGAATTTCATTAATCTAAGTTTACACTTTGTATCATGATTAGAGTCCATTTTGTGATGTCTTACTTTCATAAAAACCCATGTGGTCATTGCCAGCAGAGGGAACTAAAAGAAATTGATACCCAGTGTAAGTTTTCAATAAAGAAAAGCATTGTGTAACACAGAAAATTTGTTTCTCAAAATAAACCTTGCTTCATCTTGTCTGATGTTTAAAACAACATATATGAGGCCAAAAATTAATTTTATAAAGATTACAATAATATATAGCACCATATAAGGTAATAAATGAAGTGTTCTTGCACTAAAGACAGAGAAATAATTACATCTATGAACTGTGCATCATGCTTAATAATCTTTTTTTTTTAGCAGCTGAACCAGGAGCCAAGCCTGTTCAAGCTGAGTGCTTCACTCTTGGTTTTAGAGATAGTCACTTTTTATCTAAAATCTTTTACACCAATGAATCAGTATTAGAGGTCTGAGGATATAGCCCAGTTGGTAGAGTGCTTGCCTAGCATGCATGATGCCCTGGTTTTGATCCCTAGAACCACAGAAAGCTGGTTAGGGGTGCATATCTGGAATCTCAGTACTTCAGAGGTAGAGGCAGGAAAGTCTTAAGTGCAGGGTCATTGTCAGCTACATGTTCAGATGGAGGCTACACTAATTTAAAAGATCATGTTTCAATCAACAACAACAAAAACACAAATGATATATCTAACTGCAGGAAAAATAATGCAAGTTACAAAGATAAATGGTGGGTTTTTGAAAGTCACGGCATAGTATCCTAATATGTGCTTGTCATGATTTTTATCTGAGAGAAAAGTTAGATGATCATGACATATAAGCAAAATAACATTATAATTATCTATAGTAACGATCTGGTTTATAATTGGATAAAACAAATTGAATTAAATATAATGAATAATTAGAAGGACTACTTACTACTTAGGCATAATTTGGGGCAAGAGGAATGCTCAAGGCAAATCTCTGAATTACTGCTTCTCTGCTGTAGGCTTAGTCACTCTGTCTTTTCCCAGACATCTCAGTACATAATACTTTGACCTAGTGGTTTCTATGTAGGTAGGGAAAAACCGGTCTCAAAGATCTTTCTCTCTGTCCACTGTTGTTCCTCAGCCAATAATCCCAGGGAATGACTACAGGAGAAAAAATGAACAATAAATCATATGTGGCTTATCTGGGAGAATAGATAAGACTTGAAGTCACCCAAGAGTTACTAGATCCATGAGCATGAGAACTCTTGTGATACAGTCTTCCACCTTCTCCAGGCAGTGTTTGAGGTAAATAAACCAATCATTTTTACATTAGCCAAATTCAGCTGCTATAAAAAAAAAAAAATACATCAAATGGGTAGCTGAAAACAACAAGGATTTATTTTTCAGAGTTCTGAGGCTGAAATTTTGGGACAGTGGAAGTAGATAGTAATTACTCTTAGACTGGAACTAACAAGGCATTCTATGCTCTTTTCCACAACCAATGCTATCTATGGCCAAAAGAATTAGACAATGAATATTGATTGACAACAGGGAGATTTCCTGCCTTCAATATTTCCCCCACACTAATTTAAATAATCATTAAGTTGAAATAAACATCCTAAGAAAGGCTAAGGAGGTTGTGATTGGGATGATTACTGAAGACTTCAACTTAGGTTAATTGTAATTACTCAAATTCCTTCCTGATATTTAAATAAATTTCACTGAAAGAATTCTGATGAAAGCAACTAATAAAAGAAAAGGTAATTTAGTGTTGTGGGCACTGTAGAGGAAAGAGGGCATATTCATGGACTCAGGACGGTAAAAGATTTAGGGAAACATTGCTATGAAGAGAGAAATGCACATTACCAGAAGGAAAGAGTCTTAGGAAGGTAAAAGAGCAAGTAGAAAGATTTACATTTCATGTTCACTGCACTGAGCATTAGCTCAGCCCTCTTCTTTCTTGATTGAAAATATTTTTTCATACAATATATTTTCATGATTTCCCTTCCTGCAGACAGAAGTTTCTGTCTAACAAGCCACTCTGAAGTAACCACACAGAGGCTTAGTATTAATTATAAATGCTCAGCCCATAGCTCAGGCTTGTTACTAGCTAATTCTTACATTTAAATTAACCCATTTTTCTTACCTGTGCTTTGCCTCATGGCTTGGTATCTTTTCTCAGTATGACATGCTCATCTTGCTTCTCTCTGCATCTGCTTGTGACTTCTGATTCCACCTTTATTCCTCCCAGCATCCTGTTTGGCTCTCCCCATGACCTTATCCTGTCCAGCTATTGACCAGTCAGTTCTTTATTAAACCAATCACAACAACATAGTTACACAATGTAAAGGAATATTCCACACCCTCCCTCATCTCCTCTCAGATCCTCCCCACCTCTCCACCCATCCAAGTCCACTTCTCTGTCTCTCTCTTTAGAAAACAAACAGGAAAATAAGAACGAAAACAAACAAGAAAGAAGGAAAAATCACAGAAACACAGACACACAGACAAACACACACTCTAAACAAAACCCATAAAAAGACAAAATTGGAAACAATAATACACAAGCAAAAGACCAGTAAGGTTAAAAAATGTCCAAACAATGTAATATGAGATTAAGAAAAATAGTTTTCAAAAATACCTTTGAGTTCATTTTGTGTTGGCCATCTAGTGCTTGGCTTAAGCCCAACCCTTAAGTGTGAAACACTTATAAACACTTACAAGCACAATGAGACTCCATTGGAGCAAACTAATTTTCCCTTTACAAATAGTTGTTAATTGGAGTAAGATTCTTGTTGGAATTTGGAGCTCATGTCTACTTCCCCCTCTCACCCATCTGTATTAGACCTGTGCAAGCCCTATCCAGACAACCATAGTCTCTGTGAGTTCATATGTGCATCACTTGGGTCTGGAAGGCTCTATTTCTTTGGTGTCACCTACCACCTCTGGGTCTTACAATCTTTCCACCTCTTCTTCCATAAAGTTCCCTGAGCTTTAGGGGGAGGGAGTTGATTATGACTTCCCATTTATGACTAAGTGTTCCCAGTTCTCAAGCTCTCTGAATATTTTCCAGTTCTGGGTCTCTGTTTTATTTCCCATCTATTGCAAGAGGAAGTTTTCTTGATGATGTCAGCTCTCAGAATTGTCATCAGAGAGCCTTCATCCAACAATGGATGGGAGCAGATGCAAAGACCCACAGGCAAGCATTAGGCTCAGGGAATCCTGCAGAAAGGGAGAAGGATTATTAGAGCCACAGGGGTCAAGGACACCACAAGAAAACCCATGCAATCAACTAACCAGAGCCCATTGGGGCTCACAGAGACTGAACTGACAATCGGAGAGCCTACATGAGTCTGACCTAGGTCCTCTGCATATATGTTATGACTGTGTAGCTTGGTCTTCCAGTGGGACTTCTAACAGTGAGAGCAGGGGCTGTCTCTGACTCTTTTGCCTGATTTGGGTACCCTTTTCCTCCTACTGAGTTGCCTCATCCTGCCTTAATATTAACGAATATTCTTAATCTTGTTGCACCTTGATATACCATGTTTGATTGATTTACCTGGGAGACCTGCCCTTTTCTGAAGGGAAATGGAGGAGAGGAGGAGAAATGGAGAGAAGAGGTGGGGTGAGTGGGCACTGGGAGGAGAGGAAGGAAAGGAAAATGTGATCAGGTTGTAACATATAGAAAAGAAGAAACAAAAAAGAAAGGAAGAAAGAAAGTGAGAGGAGAGAGAAAAAGAAGAAATAAAGAAAGGAAGAAGGAAGAGAGAGACAGAGAGAACTCAATGAGTGTTTGACAAGAACCCAGCATCAGGTACCCCGAAGTACACTTAGGTACAACAAAATGTTGAATACAGACAATGATGTTCTGGCCTGGGAATCTGATCTCTGGATGAGTGATCACCTGAGGGCATTTCTTTCCTGCTGGGACTTAGCTGGCAAAAATCACAGCCAGGATTTCTCTACTGATGCATTATCTACATGTGGATACTGAATTTTTTTTTTTATTTTATGGCTGTTTATCAGTAGACATTCAACAAAAAGGCTGAGATGTAGGAAAGAATGATATAGCATGCTGATAATTTGTAAGTGCTATGCTGAAATTCCAAAATCAAGATAAAAACATAGAGAGATAGTTTATCAAAAACAATATCCATTTTCCAAACAGTATTACTCTAAAATAAGAAGTGGCTATAAAACAGACAAACAGCAACAACAGAACTCACTATAGCCAGGTCTCTAACAACAGTAAGGAATCAATACAGAGAACCAATATGTGTCTATATCTGTAGTCTGTCCCACTCTCTCCCAATAACACTGGATGCTTAAGCCTTAACAGAATTATTTAAATGATCTCTCCTTGCCCTTTTATTTCTCTCTCTCCTCCTCCCCCTACTCTCTCCTACCATCCTTAAACAGTTCTATAAAGGAAAACATGAAACTTAAGGGGGGAAATTTCTATGTATTATAATTCTCCCAGCAATAAGGATTTTATTGTCAATCTAAAAACAGCTGACATAGCCTAAAAGTAGAACCATAAAAATAAAATACAGCTCACATCTTCCACTTGCCACACTTGAAAGAAATGAGCTGTTCTCCCAATTGTTATGGCAGCTGACAGACTACATTTGGGAGTTCGCAACAATGCCAAGAGAGGAAAACACATCTCTGGGGCCTCAGAGCATCTCTTCACTTCCCAGAGGGAAATGGTGTGACTTAAGGCTATGTATCAGGATGTATTCATGATGAAAACCATCCTACTATTTTATTATTTGTCTATCTTTCTCTGATAATTGCAAAACCATAAAACCAAGTCCTGCCTCAAGATTGCTGGAGTTGTTTCATTTTCTACTTTCAAAACTAAGATTCCTCAAAGTCAAAACTTTGCTTTCCTTGCCCGTTAGTCCTCTCAAACATTCCAAACACTCACTACCCTTTCCAAGACTTCTAATCTCTCTGGAGAACCCCTACCCCACCCACCACCACCACCACCTTTACTTTCTTGACAAATACAAATTACATGAAATGAATCGCCTTGATGCCCTGAACACTGCTAGGCCTGTATTTCAGGCCTCAGGTCTGCTGTCTCTTGTATCATCTCCTTCAGGATGGTGATCCAGCCAGTCTTCTTCATTTTACCTAGTCTGTCTCCTTGAGTACTGATGGACTCTTCCTCAGAACACACATTTGCTCAAATTACTCTAAGTATAGAATGTTCTTTCTCCTGTGCATCACTCCAGGTTTCCTCTGGCAGTTTTCTATTCACATTTTTACCATAGACTCTTATTTTAAAAGAGTAAATATGTTTTTGGTTGGGGGGAATCGAGGTTGTTTTGGTTTTTTTTTTTTAGTTTTGGGATGGAGTATTAAATAGCCTGGGCTGTTTAATGTCAAACTAAGTATGTATCAAAATCTGCCCTTGAACTTCTAATCCTGTGCTGAGACTACTGTACTCCACAGAAGGAGTAACTTTGGCTCTTACTTTTCACTTCCTCACTTCTAACATGGCTCTCCCATTCTCAGATGTCCCCTACACTCATGCACAAAAGCCATTCTTGTAAACAAACATATTATCCAAAATTCCATGCCACTATGTAACAAACTCAAACTAGTGGGCTTTATAAGGCCTTTCCCCTGAACAGTCAGCATTTACAGTTCAACTCAAAATTGTTTCATTAGATTTTATGGGTTGAATCAGGAACAAAGAGGTGGCAGTTTAGGGAGAAAGGCAAAGAGCTAAAGACAGGAGGGGGGAGAGGAGAAAATATTAATAGAGAAGAGCAACGAGAAGAGGGTGAGACAAGAATTAAGACATTAAGAAACTGGATTCTCTCATATTACTAGCCAAGTGAACAGGAAACTAGGTTGTTTTAAAATCCCTTTTCTGCCTCTTGTAGTATGTGTGCTTTTCATTATGACATTTCTCAGAGAGAAAACACTTGTTATACTCCAGATAACTGACCTCATCATTGCACACAACTAATTGAATGTTTCTTTTTAACGTGACCCTTTTTCTACACTTCCACAACTCTCTTCAATCACAGTTTTCGTCTCTGGCATGCCTGGTGTCATAATGAAATCCTCTTCTTTACTTACTCTGTAAGGAAGCTCATGATGTGAGGCTGACGTTAGCAGTTTCCCCTTC